GCCATCAAAGATGGCGTCTCCGAGGAGGTCATGTGACATTCATTGGTCTGTGGGAACTATGTATATTTTAGATCGAGTTTTGGTGAAACAAGGAAGAGAATGTGTTTCGGGTCTCTGACCAATCACAGCGGACCACTGGCCCCCACTTTTGTGAGAAAAGCCACAGGTCTCTTGTTTGCACAGACAGCTGAGTTAGCACAACAAGCGGCGCGGGCTAACCTGAAACTTTCTGTGTCTTCGTTACTGCTTACACAGCGAAACATCCATCCAAAAGAAAGTCTCGTCCTCTCCGCGCTTCCCGGTTCTGTCATTCTATGGTCACGCCATCCATGTGCAAAAGTGCCATATTGATCCATATTGTGAGAGGCTAACTTCGGAGCTAACAGGACAGCGCACAGGCTGCGGGGGAGGGGGAGGGGGGGGGGGGGGGGGGGGGTCAAACCTCCGTGGGTGTGGGGAGGGCGAGCAGAGAGAGGGAGCTCATCGCTCGCGTTTGAAAATGTCTCAAAATCAGTTAGTGCAGCTTTAAGAAGATTTTTTTAACATCTTGAATATTTTTGTCTGCATATTTCAGTCACTGATTCTCAATTTCATGTTTTTAATTTAAATTCAACAGTCTTAATTCGTCGCGAAAAAATACGATGGTGAAAAATTCACACACATCTGGTGTTCTGACGAGTTGTGTGCTCTCTCAGATGGTCTGCGCCATCTACAGTCTATGGCCTGCCCAAGCACAAATGAACTCTTCACTGAAGTTGGAATATTTTGTTGCTTATCTGTCTCCGTTACAATGGATATCTTTATATTAATTTAACATTCTCTCTGTTAAAATTATACTTTGCTTTGATGTGGATTAGATACATCTTAACTGCAAATGAAAACATAGGGGTGTGGGAGCCAAGCTAAGTTTAATTAGTTTGCCATTTAGCATGTAGCACAAACCGTATAGAATGTTAAAAATATGTGTATTTGTTATAAACTGGTAATAACTTATATAGCGTTATTTGTTTGATTAATAATTGACGCAAGCCCCCGCTGAAAGATCAAGGCTGTCCTCTCAGCGACAGATGCCTTTTGTGGACCCTCCACCTGCAGGAGGATCAGTGAGGAGGCAGGAGGATCAGAAAGGACAAGGAGGAGCAGGACGATCAGTGAGGACCAGGAAGATCATTGAGGCTGGTTTTCTGTGAATTGGGTGGCAGCTGATTGCCACCACCCCGACCCTTTAGAACTAATGTAGATTTTATTAACTTTATTTACGTTACCGTCACTTTAAGAGGGAGAGAGAGGGGTTTTGCTCAATCCCCATCGATCCAAGATGGCGACCTATTCTAATGAATGATTGTGGTCAGTGGCGCTTTGTGACGGCATGGGGGCTGAAAGATTAGCGGAAGTCGCCTGGAACTCGCAAAGATCTATGGGAAACTCGCCTGTATTCGGGCATAGTCTGGTCCTCCCGGTTCTGCGCAGTGGATGATCTCCCATAATGCGTTGCGCCAAACACGCGTGTGTGGGTCTCACACCGGGTCTCACGCACGTGCACAGAGGGGCTCGGCCGCGCTCTGACCAATCAGAGCAGTTCATCAGAGCGGGAGTTAGAGCCAGACGAGCAGAGTTTGTGGCACTAAAGTGTGGATTTAAACAAAACCGAAGGATTTAAGAAGAAAAAAAGTTCAGGATGACAAGGGACACTAAAATCCCCACAAAAGCCGACCTTTATGAAAGCTGTAGGTTGAGCTGTTTTAATATGCAATGAGTTCTATGGGGAAAATTTCTGGGTAGCCCACGTGAATTTAGTCTGGTTCAGTCTGCAGTACCGCGAGAATTCCCCGGGCCCATGAGTTATTCAGCTACAAGCTAATACCCTATCCAGTTAATATAATAGATCCATGGTTTTGCTTTGTTTAAAGAGGTATAGCCGAGCGAGCAGAGCCGAAAGTAAGTAGCAAGTAAGAAATTCACCGACCAGATTCACAAAGCGGTTTACAATTGCGGGCATTTGTCTCTCACTCCACAGAGGTGGGAGCAGGGTCGCCAGTACAGGAGCCGCATGCCAGACCTATTGTACATATTTTTTAGTGGTAGGGGAAACTGGAGTACCCGGAGGAAACCTACGCAGACACGGGGAGAACATGCAAACTCCACTCAGAAATGCTTCTTGCTGAGAAGCGAGAGTGCTATCCACTCAGCCACCGTGCGCCCGAAAGAGCACGTAACATTTTGCAGCTGAAGAAATAAGGAGCCATACTTATTTAGTAAGTATAGCTCCTTATTTACCGTTGTTACTTTATTTCAGAGACAACTCAGCAAATTTAGTGTGCAAGAGTTCAAGCTGTGGTGCTATGAGACTTGGGTGGCATCTTTGATTGCCACTCCCCTGACCCAGAAATGGATTAAAGGGTAGAAAATGGATGGATGGAGTTCAAGCTGTGGAATACATATTTTTTTATTAATTCCTTTACATGAAGTCCTATGGTAGCGTTTCCCCTTTAGAGTGAGCCCCAACAGCGGAAACTGCTACACGGGGAAACTAAGGCTATAAATGTTCACGTGATTGTTTTCCTTTACACAAACAAACACAAACAGCCTAAATAAATAAACAGGAATATACAGAAATAATGATTTGCAACAAGCACATTCACCCAAAATATTCATAAGACTAACTCATCAAATGAATGTAGTATAATTTTGTTATTTGCCATGCTGAAAGCTAGCGCCTGTCTTTACCGCGATAAAATGACACACAACTCATCAGAACACATCATGTGAATTTTTCACCATCGTATTTTTTCGTGGCAAATTTAGACTGTTGAATTTAAATGAAAAACATTATGAAATTGATAATCAGTGACGAAATTTGCAAACAAAAATATTCAAGATGAAAAAAAATTCAAACTGATGAATTTAGGTCCATTTTGAATTCAATATCTAATGGAACAAATAATCAGTCTTATTTTTTTTTGAATCACATTGAATTTTGTAAACTGAATTTTTAGGGACTGAAATGCATAGACAAAAATATTCAAACATGCTTTTTCAGGGTTAAAAATTTCAAATGGAAAAATTCAAACTCATCAAAATCAGATGACACAAAAAATCTTCCACAAACATTCCTTTGTTTTGAATAATTCCTGTACGACAGTTAACACAAAATTCCACCTAACGTTCCTCATATATGGATTATCTGAGTGCTTCAAAAAACATTAAATTTGACTTTCATTAATATATTGTACATTTTCAATGTTATTTCTGAAAATAGCCTGGAGAATGTTTGAGTGTGTGCTCATGTAGTCGTGCATGCACATTGCAAGGCTCCCAGACTGACGGACTGATTTGGAAAAATGAGTTGGACATGGGTGAAAGTTCCCTTATCTTGGCTCGCTGACCACATGCCCACACCAAAAATTATCAACTAGAAAAGATTGAAATGATAATGGACTAGTGGCAGTGCATTCTGAGGAAAGCGCATACTCAAGGGAGGAGCAGAATGAAACCGGTGAAACAGGCAACTAATCTGTTTCAAACAAACCCATAAGGGATGCATACCATGAATGAGAAATCATTGAAAGAAAAGGACAAGCAAATAATAGAGGTATTATTTCAGTATAACAATAACAATATTCAAACAACAAGGTTAGCTATGTAATATAAGATCACATGATTTTCTTGCTCGGTGAATGCTGTCTCAGAGGCAGTGTGTAGGGCAAAGGCCTCACCATGTCTCCTTGTTGTGTATGTATGGGTTTTTTTCTGTCTGAAATGTCATTAAAAAATGTCTCGCCATTGTCAAATGTCATTAAAAATCTTTTGTCTTTTATATTTACTTGGTTTGAGGCCAATATGTGAAGCAACAACTAGTTTTTAGTAATAACATGCATGTTTTTTGGCCTGTGTCAAATCTTTAGATCAGCTTTTTCAGGCAGAAAAGGGAAAAAGAAGCCCTTTCGCTAGCTCTCTCTGATCTCCTCGTTTCTATGTTGGTTTCCTCCAGGTGCTCTTGTTTCCGAACCACTAAAAAATGTACAAGAGTTCTGAATGTATCGAGTGAGTCAAAAGATGGTGATGGTCGATTGCACCAGGTGTTCAGTAAACAATACATTTATTAACCATGTTTAACTTAATTCAACATCCTGCTGTATGGCAGACCTGTAAAATATAACTGTATATTGCAAACTGACCATGGTATAAACTACGGCGGAGCACAAGGATAACCCAATTTTTTATATTTTTTTGCCACTCAGTGGTATTGTTGCCTTGCCCTCTCCATGTGGGTGGAGAGGTCCTTCCTCAAGTATCTTGAGATCTTGTTCACGAGTGAGGGAAGGATGGAGCGTGAGATTGACGGGCGGATCAGTGAGGCGTGCGCAGTGATGCGGTCATTGCATCGGGCCGTTGTGATAAAGACGGAGCTGAGCCGAAAGACTAGGGAAGTCTGGGTGTCTCTGCTTAGACTGCTGCCCCCGAGACCCGGCAACGGATGAAGCCAAAGAAAATGGACAGATGGAGCTTAAAAGTCACCGGAATATTTTGACTTTATTCTCCTAATATTTAAAGAATAATCCCATAATATTTTTTGCATGGATACCGGGAGGGACCTGGAGCGCGGTCACCGGGAGAGACCCGACACTGTTAACATTGGGTCATCAGATTAAGAGTTTATGAAAGCGTGAAACTGTAGAGCTTCAGTTAACTCTGGACGCGGCGTCTCACTGTTAATGTGACGGCTATGCGATGGAGCTCCATTGTGTCCATTGACTTTTATCTCATAATTAATCTAATATTGCTACTTTGACTTTATTCTTGAAATATTTTGACTTTAAAGATTACTTATGTGTTTTTTACAAGCCGAAAGCTTGTGATTATAAATAAGGCGTGATATTGTCTCACTATTTGTGTTGTCTGTCCAAGTTGGTTTCACATTTGAATGTTGAATTGCAAAGGGAAAGGAAACTCAAACAATATTTTAAAGTTCCGAGTTTCATTTGTATTGTCCGTTTTACCTTGGCCACTTTGATGATGTCGGGGATGTGCAGGTAAGCAGCCACAGGAGCCAGGCCTTTTCCGATCAAATAAGCTTCATCTGCCTTTTGCCTGCGGAGATAACATATTATAAATTAGCTGACCAATCTACATCTGTCTTTAGCACACTTCACGGGGCATTAGCAAAATCTAAAACGCAAAGCTACATCTGCATTTTAAAACACCTCTAAAAGGATATATGGTGAAATAAATGATACCAGAGCATTTGGATGTAAATTTGACATGATCGTATAAGTTTCTTTCCACTTTGTGTGACACCAACAGGAGAAAAGGCCATTGGTGTTCAGCATTAGCGAAATAGCATTAGACATTCATTTATTTTAAAAGCATTTCATGTTTTTCAAAATCACAAAGAGACCATCAGACCAGTGGATGAGGTCATTCATTCACACAAATTCATTTTCAGGATAATTTCATTTAAAATTTGTCACCAGATAATAGGTAACTTGAGCACTATTCTCTGCCTTATAAAAAGTATTGCCCAAAAATGTACTTCTTTACTCTTGACTGTGACATGACTGTTTGTAGCTGGTGATTTTCAAATTTGTACCAAAAAAATCTCTTCTCAATCAATGTGGTTGTGTTACATTCAAGACTAATAAACAAAAGGTATAAAAAAATGATGATAAATAAAATGTTACAAAACTATCTATACCTGTGCATTTGTCCAGTGTCCTGTTCGGAGTAGACGGCCACAGTGCGAATCCCCAGCTCTGTGCAGGCACGGAAAACTCTAATAGCAATCTCCCCTGGAAAAAAAATAAACAACATAGAAATCAATGAAACAACCACAACTTTAGTTACAGACATGGAAAAGTCCATCTGAAATTCCACATCAAAAGCACATCACAACATTTGTTTTTTTTAGAGGATTAGTAGCTACACATTGAACCTCAAAAATGTTCTCAGAAACAGAAGGTTGTAATATAAATAGAATGCCAAAATTAGTTAAGGGATATATTAAAGATTATTCAGCTTGTATACATAAGGTCACTTGAAGAATTTTGCAATAATTGGCCATAAAGTGACTTATTCATAGTTAACAACAACTTCCGACTTGTTGCATTGGCTCTTAACTGTGCAAATTTCTCACATTAAATACTTTTCACTTGACTATAAACCTGACCAAATTGTTAATTACAGCTCTAAAGGCAGACTTTGGGGCTGTAATTAACAATTCGACCAAAACAAAATTCAAGAGATGCCCCTGGGACACATTCATAGAGATGACTTTTTACACAGTGGGTTGCTTGATTAAAAATACATTGTAAAAGGCATTTCATTTTAAACTGCAGTCATAAAACCTTCTCTGCATGTTTAAGACCAAGTATTGATTTGATCCACATATCGTTCATCAAAATGTGTTATCGTGACAGGTAAAGTGAGCAGATCAGAGCAAGCAAGTGCTCCAAGAAAAAGGGGCAAAATGAGAGCTGGAGAGAGGCCACACGGAGCCCGATATTAGTGAAGGAGGCTGAAGGAGATGTGCTTGGTCAAGCGGAAGCCAACGTGATATGATATGAGGGTCTGGCTTTCCATCACACCCAGAACGGAGCACGGTCTGGTGCCTTGGGCTAATGTGGTCGCCCAGGAGCAGTGGAGAAAGAGGTGAGGGAGTGACAGGGGAAATACTGTGGACTGGATGTGGATGTGAGGTCAACCACTGTTCCTTTTGAATACAGGTGATGGATTAAAGATTGTCATATTGTGTAGAAGCTGAATGACAACAATGGAGTTTCCCAATTGCTCAAACCTCAACTGTCTGAAATGTTTACACCGTTCCATTTGTTGAACAATAAATAAATCCATTTAAGTTCTTGGCTCTAACAGTTTGGTTCTTCAACACATTTTTTGCACAATTCCATTTTTGGCCTCCGTCACAAATTTACATGCGCTAAGTCTGAGTTTAGTGGCAGCAAGTCTGAGTCGTCTTTATTTAGTTTGTATGGATGTTGAGTTTCTGCTGCTGGACACCAGAATTTCTCGAACGGAATATCAATATAGTATCTATAATCAGCGTGTTTCAGACGGAAAAGTGAAGGGAAGACCACCCTCATTCAGCTCTCAGTGTGAAGTGTCAAATAGTGACTCACAGTAAGACGGCAAGTTGTGGTCTTATTTGTCCATAACATTTTACTTTAATTTTAGCTCGGTCTGTTGGGACTAAGAAAATGTATGATCACAGAATTGGTGCTTGGGAGATTCCAAATTGATCCTTGTTTCCCTGTGTGTATGTTTATACAAAAGTGTGTTCTATTTGTGTTTGTCAAAAGCCATTCAGAAAATATGTTCGCATTTTTGCATTGTTTTTGCTCGAGAGATTTCAAATTCTGCACTTTGAGCCTTAATTTCACCCCCTGAACATGCATGAAAGGTTGTAAAGTTTTGCCCAAACATCAGACCTGGTGAAAAATTTGATTTGTGTTTTTTTTTTGATGGGACTCAAAAAACGCCAGAACAGCGCCACCTACAACAGCCAGAGTTTCAGAGGTCAAGTTTGTCGTAGAGCCATGAAATTTGGTACACATGTTCCTCAAGTCAAGATAAGACCAAAATGTTATCATGGCTCCGCCCTCTGACAAACAGGAAGCCCATAAATTTCACTGCAAAATGGAAAAATGATTGGTTGGAAATCTTCTCAGCCGTTTCACCGATTTGCCTCAAAATCGTTCCACATCATCTCAACACATGTACCTTCAAAATGACCAAAGGGATTTTTGATCAGTGAAACGTTGTTTGAGCAGCGGAGCGGCAAAATGTGAGTGTTTATTGCCCGTTTTTCACAACATTCTATTTGCTCCCGTTTGCACATACAAATTCCGATTTGCACAAAACTTGAATCCATTGTTCAACCCTAGGGTCTAGGTCATTTGAAAGTGAAATAATTGAACTTGGCTCATTAACGCCCCCTACAGACTATTTCAGAGTTTTTAGTATGAAAAACTTTGACTCCATCTGTAGGGGGCACTAAAAAGCCAAGTTTTTATTTCACTTTCAAATGACCTAGACCCTAGAGTTGAACAATGGATTCAAGTTTTGTGCAAATCAGACTTTGTATGTGCAAACGGGAGCAAATTTAATATTGTCCAAAACAGCCAAAAAAAAAGGTCACATTTTGCAGCTCCCCTGTTCGAACAACGTTTCTCTGATGAAAAATCGCCGAAATCATTTTCAAGGTACATGTGTTGAGATTATGTGGAGCAATTGAGGCAAATCGGTGAAACGGCCGAGGAGGAGTTGCTTTCCAACCGACATGTATGAAAATTAATGCTGTTCATTTTTCCATTTTGCAGTGAAATTTATGGGCTTCCGGTTTGTCAGAGGGCGGGGCCATAACATTTTTTTCATGTCTTAACTTGAGGAACATGTGTACCGAGTTTCATGGCTCTACGACAAACTTGCAAGAAAGTTTCAAATAAGGCCGCACATCCCTGTAGTTTGAGCTAGCGTGCTGGATTATACGTCAGACGAAGGGCCTCAGCCCAAAACGTAGCGTTTTTTGGTGTGTAAATAAAAATACACTTATTGGGAGCTACATAGCTGTGCGGATTTTTTCACTGTTTCTACGACAAACTTGACCTCTGAAAAATCCCATGGGGGTATAATTAGGCCCGAGCCCCGAACAATATTTTATATATGTTCATAGATATTCTGTTGAGTTGTCTGTTTGCTTCACTCACTCACAGTCACAGCTATGATCCCAGCCGCTGTTTCTCACAGCACACATCGAGACCATATGTAAAAAGCGGTTTCATATATGTGTATACAGTACATTGCCCAGCCATATTAAAGACAACCCAAATGTAACAGGACGAAATACTTGCATATCCTTCTGCCTATAAAAATATTCCAACATTCCTCTTTTAGTAGAGACCAGGCTAAGAGGAGCGGGTGTACAGTTTACGCAAATTGGCCATGTGCTTCGTTGGGTTTCACTTCTAAACGTAATCAAACATTCTTTCCTTTAAACTGTCTGCAAAAGTGGTGCTTAAAACTTTTATGATCATAGTAATATTAAGTTCTGTTCATGCACATCATTTTCTGAAGGCAGTAAAACTTATGACACGGGGCAAAGTCATCATGCAGAGACTGTGACTGAAACTCAAATAAAATAAACTTTGGTGGGAGAAAGAACAAAACAATTTAGTCAACCACCAATTGTGCAAGTTCTTCCACTGAAAGATAAGGGAGGCCGGTAATTTTCATAATAGCTGTACCTCAACTATGAGAGACAGAATGAGAAAAACAAATCCAGAAAATCTAATTGATTATTAAATAATTTATTTGCAAACTATGGTGGAAATGGTCAATATGGTGGTATTTGGTCAATGACTAAAGTTACTCAATACTTTGTTATATACCCTTTGTTGGCAATGACAGAGCTCAAACGTTTTCTGTAAGTCTTCACAAGGTTTTCACACACTGTTGCTGGTATTTGAGAAAAAAAATAATAATTTGGCCGACAATTTTAAAATTGTCTCGTGTGAACCAGGCTTTAGCCACAATTGTTAAAAACTGCTCCTGAAAAGCTGGAATTTTGCTTTAACGAGTTCCTTTCTGAATTTGTATTTAGCAGCTTTGTAGCCATTGCGATCCCCTTTTCTTAAAGTGGACTCTTTAGTCCGTCCGAGCTGCCCGAATTTAGCAGATGTGAACGTATGACGTCACACCGTTAGTGTACTCGTGTCCAATCTTTCGTGTACTCAAATGCATACACAAGCACAGCTCTTCCACAGCCTAGTCAGTATACATCTTTGAGTTGCTTACCACAGGTTTAGAGAGTCAGTCTCTGTAAGCAAGAATGAGGATCATAGCGTGGTCTGAGAACCCTTGAAGCGTGGTAAGCTTCACTTACTGTTGTATAGTGATCCAGTGAGTTCTCACTGGTCGGCCACGTGATGAACTGTCTGTATTTGGGTAGTTCTTGGCTCAAATTTCCAAGGATTCAGGGAGTCTAAGCATGACCATTCCATGCACATATGTAAACGGCAGCTAGAATGAATGAAGCAAACTTGTGCGGAGAGAACGTCTTGCAACAAATTAAAAGATATTTCAGAGCAAGAGAGCAGGGCAGGGAGATCACAGTCACGTCAGCAAACCAGCTTCTATTGATGTAAGGCCAGTAGGGGTTAGGGGTGTGACGATACATCGATTTTTCGATATATCGCGATACTTTCTCCCGCGATTCGATTATTGATATGCATTTGCCAAGTATCGATATTGATTATGAAAAAAATTATCCATCCATCCATCCATTTTCTACCCTTTAATCCATTTCTGGGTCAGGGGGGTGACAGTCAGAGATGCCACCCAAGTCTCATAGCACCAGCCCCTCACTGACCCTCTGCAGGTGGTGAGTCCACAGGAGGACGGCTGCTCTTTGACTGTGAGCATAGCCTTGATCTTTCAGTGGGGGCTTTGGGCAAAGTGGGGTTAAGTGTCTTGCCCAAGGACACAACGACAGCAGTCATCAGTGGGAGTCGATGGAGAAGGTGCAGAGGTGGGAATTGAACCCACGACCTTCTGGGCTTAAGGCCAATGCTCTACCAACTGAGCTACTGTCGCCCTAAGAAAATTATATTTTTTTATTTTTTTAAATCTGTATCAATACTTAATATATGGCTACATTACGCATCTCCATTCTATTTATCATGAAATAGAGTATTTTTTCTTTTATTTATGCCATAAATTGGCATATTGTATATTTATGACCAATATATCGATAATCGTCATATCGTGATATTATCGTTATTGTGAGCTTTGTATCGTGTATCGTATCGTATCGTGAGGTACCCTTAGGTTCCCACCCCACGATACAAAGCTCACGATAACAATTATATCACGATATGACAATTATTGATATATTGGTCAGCTATATACCATATGCCAATATATGGCATAAATAAAATAGAAACATTTCAAGTGAAAAAAATACACTTTATTTCATGAAAAATGGAATGGAAATGTGTAATGTAGCCATATATCAAGTATTGATACAAATTTCATAAAAATAAAAGTAAAATAAATCGATTGCGGGAGAAAGTAATGCGATATCAAAAAATCGATATCTTGTCACACTCCACAAGGGCAGAATCCACAGATGTCCCCAGGGGAGCTCTCGGTGCCGGCCAGAGTAAAGGAATTGGAAGCCATCCTTTTACAACAGTCTGGGATCCGCTTGTTGAGCCACGTCTGGTGACCATCCGCTGCACCATCTCTAAAGTAGGATAGACCAGTGTCCTCACTGAGCTGTCCAAAAGAGCTGTGTGCCAGCTGCAGTAGATTCTAAACACTGCAGCTCGATCACATTAGTCCAGTTCTCAAGTCTCTGCATTCCTGTTAAAGTAGCTCTGCTTGTGAATAAGCCTCTCCAAGGCATTGCACCAAAGTAGATCCGTGACTGTAAGTACAATATGAACTCATACTTGTACCAAACATGTAGAGCACATTGAATTGTAATGCATGATAAATAAAATTGATTGATGCACCTAGCTCCTTCGCTTTAACCTATCCCAACTCTTCCTGGCTCAGATCACTATTCAAGGGTCATGGCACTTGCTACGCGTTTGGTTTTTACTAAAGAGCACTTCTCATGTAACATTATACCGTATATGCTGATTTGTTCAATATTCACTTGTTTTGATTTTGTAATTAAACATGTATTTGCATTTTAATTTGAGTTGTCAGTATCTTTGCGGTGCTAAAAAGGTACTTTTATTGTGTATTGTAATGTATTGCTATAAAATGCAACCGATAGTCTAAAGAAAGATTATTATCCCTGCAGTATCAAAATTGGTATGGCGTATCGAGTCTAAATCAGAATAACATTTTGGTGTCTTGAGACCATTACCCTTGTTTTCTATACACCGTTTTCTACACATCTCACACAGCACTGTCCTGTCCGATTCAAGCTTTGAGCCAGAAAAAACATGCTTTAAAATGAATATTTGAAAGAATGTTAATTAGATGCAATGAAAAATATACTGTCAGCTGATTTAGGTCCACAGTCTGGATGGTCTTTAGAAAGAATTAGCCTTAATTAGAGAGTACAGTAATTATGCTGCTTACATGTGCTGTGTAAAGGATAAATGCGAGTGCATGCTTATGAAACGGTGTCTGTAGTTACAGTATAATCTCTAAAGCTCTAATTTGACATTGAGAAAAAACAAGTTCAAATGTTAATGAACAATAGTATTGCTTAGACTGTCACACATGCTACTTTAACTACACACTATATGTGCAGCTGAAGCAATTAGCCAAAATAAAATCAACAAAGCTTCCCCGCCTGTGTGCATTAAATGCATGTTTAAATATTTGGATGCTCCTGTTGCCTCGGGAAGATTTTAAATGTCAGTGGGTTTTTCTTACATTATACATTCAATTACATAAACAAATTCCTTAACACAGTGTGGTATTAGAGTGGAGGGAATGAATAATAACCTTTAAGAAAGAACGCTAAATGAGAATATATAAGCAAACTGATAATTTTAAAAAGGTGGTGTTGATGCTTTTTATTTGTCTCACCTCTGTTGGCCACCATGACCTTCTTGATTGGGCGGTGCTCCGTGCGTGGGGCAGAGTGGGCCGAGCGAGACACCACACACACCCTCCGCACCGCCAGCATCCCCAGGCCGCCACGGATCACTGTGTAGCCCAACATGCTGCAGAGAGAAGAAAATTTTTGATAAATCAATATAGTAAAACAATATTCTGGTTGGTCTAACTGTCCTGTGCCTTGTGTTCAAAGTGTGTGGTCGGGTTTTTACAGAAACACAACTTCAGCACTGGAGCCCTTAGTCAGAAGTTTTGACTAGGCCAAAAAGAGTAAGGAGTAAAGTTGTCAAGTACTTCCGCTACAGCTGCTTTTTCTGCACACGCTAAAATCAAAGGAATACATTACCAGTGCAAACACACACAAATGCAAATAGAGGAATTTCAGTTTCATACAGTCACTCTAAATTATACCAGCATTACCGCGAATAGTATTCCCAATAGAGCCGGGGCACCTTGTTTTTTCCTAAATATGACATGCTTGTCCCAGCAAAGTCTGACCACAACATGCTGTCGTCATCTTATTAGAAGATATGTTCGTTTGCTTAATGGTGATCAAAAGCCCATTGGACACATTGGGCTGAGAGTTCTTTCAAATCTAAAGATGTTAGAGACGAAAACAATACATACATGTAAAAACTAGATGTAGTAAACTGTTTCAGGAGAACGAGTTAAGATAGTATTAAATTTTTGTTTGAAAGTTAGTAAGTACCCCAACTTTAAACTGCAATGAAATTATACATTGCGGGAAAACAAGCTTCAGTGGCTTTTAATAGCTCTTCTTTGTCTTCCATTTTTTTTGTATTGGTTTCCAAAAGAATTTCAGACTAAAGATGGCTGTAAGCATTGAATAAAAGCAAGATATCCAAACTATTCAAAACAAAAAAGAACCCAATATTCTTTAAGTGCCCTTTGTGGAGAAAATTGCACATTATCTGGTTAAAGAGCAGCTTTTTATCATGAAGTAGATTGGTTGAATGGCTTTGAAATTAAAATGTCACTGTTTCTCGGTTAATGACAACTGCAGTGGGATTATGAAGAATTATTATTTGCAATGTGGCCGACAGCATGCATCACAATTATGAAGAGATGATTAATGTTAATACTAAATGTAAATGATTCATTAAGAGGAAAGCAATTCATGAATGAATAGGAGAAAAGAAAATACACATGTTAGGGCTGCATGATTCTAGCTAAATATCTAATGCGAGCCAGACATGAACTAGGTAGAAATCAAATGAATGAAAAAGCGATCAAAAAAAGGTGGGAGTTATATTAATCTTGAGCAAATTCTCAATTGAAAAGGAAAAATGCTTCTGTAAAAAGACTTTTTTCTTCTGATTTTATATTTTTGTTTTATACAACTCTTAGCATCATCATTATTATAACCATTGTAACTATGAAATAATTGTATTTTTATCATTCTTTACAACATTTTTTTATTATTATATGATGGATTTAACCTTTCAGTTTATTTTCTTATTTACTTTATTGTATTTCCATTTTATGTCATGTATTTTTGTTTTTTATTCAATTCATTCAATACAGAATGAGATGATGTTCCTCCCACTTGATTTGCCCAGCTGAATAGCCCTGCCCTCTTCATATCAAGTTACAGCGGTGAAAAGAGGGGTTGTTTGTAGTTTAGTTTTTTTCTATCCAATTGCAGAAAGGTTGAACATTTACTTGAGGATGTATCAACAGAGCAGATGGAACCTCAACACACAGCATACTCTTCTTCTCAAGCTACGCACTCAGCCCATGCCTATGACAGTGCTCTGCTGCCACATGCTGGCCACATGCACACATCACACGCACATACATACAGATAACCACCATCCCAAAACCAGACTTTCATTTAGACCGTCACATTATCTACTTGTGCACACTTTATGAAAAGGCATGGCTAAGAAATCACTGAATGCAAATATAATATCTTGTGTATTTATCCTGTTCATTAATTGCCAAAGGATTGCTGACATGTAGTTTATAACTTTTGACCACTAAGCACAATATTTCACATGCCATCTTGGTGCCATGTTCATATATCACAAGTTACTATACAGTCTCATTTGGTTCGAATAAAAAAAAAAAAATAAATAAAAAGCCAGCAGCCTCTTGTAAATGTAATGTAATCTGTTAAGAGAGCAGCATTATTAAATATATCCCAGCATTCCTGGAAGTATAGGTTCAACTGACACCTAATATATAATAAAGGTTATTCATGTACATTAAAGCTAGAGTATCTAACTTTTTACTTTTTACATCAAACTAGTTAGAGGCCGGATTAGTGATGGAACCTACTCCATCTTTAGGTCACCTTTTTCAACCAATCTAAGGATGATATGAAAGTGACTCACTCACATTCTAAGTGTGGTTTGATTTGTTCACATAGTTCTCTAATGTACATCTTCCTTTGAGTTAGTTATGACTCAAAATACCTTTGCTTTGTCAAGTGATCTGCTTTTCTCCAAGGATATACTATAAAAAAGGTAATACAAAAATTAGATTTTTAATACTTTTTTGTTAAAAAAGTATTTTTGTTCAGAACAAAATCATGAAAATAAAAATAAAGTCCACGGGACACAATTCCCAGAAACGAAACGCACACTAGTTATATCCTCCAGCTCCAGTAGTCCTGACTAAGCCAAGCATCAACATCTGGAGATGGGTTCCCTGGCGCTGTACTACGGCGACCACTGCTCCTGACGTAAGCCTGTGGCATCAGGATGGCTCAAGTCCAGAGGACGAAATGCCCTACAGGGAATAATAAAGTGCACCTTTGATTTTAAACAGAGTTCTAACCTAGGGCTGGGCGATAAAACAATAACAATATATATTACTATAGACACATGTTTGATATACTGTAAATAGAAAATGGGGTCGATAGAATGTTTGATAGTTTAACCTCACAGGAAGTAAAGCTGAGTAAGAAGCTCGCGGCATTCTGGGGGAAGGAGGCAGGGGCTTCGAGACCTATCACAGCCAAGCATGAACCGCAAAACATTCTGTTAAATGCAACAACAAAACGGACCCTGCGTTGCGTCCATGGATTGATAGATTGCATTGTGCTTCAATGACTCAATGCATGCGACAAAAACAAGAGATTAGCTTTTTCCTCTGGAAGCACGTGCTTAGGCCTGTCACGATAACAAATTTTGCTGGACGATTAATTGTCTCAGAAATTATTGCGATAAGCGATTATATAGTCGTTCTGAGATCATGCATCGATTACAATGATAATGCAGGTACACCTTTTCAAAGAGAAATAAACTTTTATTTTTAACGAATATTTAACGCTAGAACACAATAAATTAACAAACAACCAAAAACAATAAATAGACTCTGTCTCTTAACAAAAAATGACCAGGAATAAAACTGCCAGGACCTTTGTAAAGAAAATATGAAACAGATGCCTCAAATGTCAATAATTTCTCAGACCTTATGGCAGATTACGAGAAAGAAATACCAACATGTTGACTTTGTGTGGCTTAAGACAGGATCTCTCAGGAGTAGTCCCACCTCCCCACACACCAGGCGAATGACAAGTGACTGACATGTGGGTTCACCAATGGGGCGTACAGAAGTCCTGCTGCGGTAGCGCCCGGGTGATTCTCACGAAATCCAGATTTAAAACAATTCCAACTTCAAAATTTTCAAAAGGCATTTGAAGACTAATTTTCTTTTAAGCACTTTAGATGAATGTCTGAACTTACTAAACACATTATTTTTCAACATCGTTTTTGATTTTTTTTAGTTGAATTACAGGTATTTTAGATATTGAGTGCCAAAAAAATCTCATTACCGCAACATGAAATCACATCAGATTTATTGTTAAAATAAAAAAAATTGGGAAATTTTAAAAGTAGCTAATTAACACTTATGCCAAGAGGAATGTATCAGTCAAGAAAGATTACTTCGTTATATTTATAAATTTGAAAATATTTATAATTTGTCTCATTACCGCAACACACTTAATGATTTACATCTAGTTTTTTTAGGATATTCCTTTGAAAACTGACATAAATATATATTTTTTGTGATTGGGATTTAAAAAGTAGTACTACAAATTGTGTCAACACAATTGCTAAAAAAACAAAAAACAAAATAATTATTAAATCATTTGCAAATGAACACGTTGCGGTAATGAGAATGGTGTTTCGGAAATGAAATTCAATGTTTCGGAAATAAGATTTAGTGCAACATAGGTTAGAAATGATTCACATTTAACACCCAATGATATTTTAATGGTCAAAAGCATTTCATTTCATAATAGTAGTAGTAACAAAAGAATTCATTTATAACAAATAACAGTATTCATTTATTACATAGTAAGGTGGATGACAAATATAGCCTGACTCTCGCCAGACCCATGTAGTTCGCTGCACTTCACACATGAGTCTAGTACTGAGCCATAGTGGTTGGATTTCAGAAGGCAGGGCCTTATAAAAAAAATCCTTGTATGTGATTGGATAGATCACTTGTCCGTTATCTTGAATAAAGTCTGCTTTCAACCATTCACATCGAAGCACACGGCTCCCATAGGTTGCCAAATCCCAGCAAGATTTTCCAACCCAAAATCCGCGAGAATACCCACACAAAAAAAACACTCAGAATGATTTTTTGGCTAAAAACTTAATGTAATCAACTTGGACTATCATGATTCTGTTTATTGTCTTTCTGTTTATTTAATACCTACAAGTCTCTTGGAAAAAAATATGCGGGAACCACCGAACCTGGCAACCCTGCTGCATAGCGTGTAAACAGGAACACTGAACCAGTGCTTCAACCAAACTTTACAAGAACATTTGACTCTGACTCTCTGACACACATATATCAACATAGAACCATCAACATCTCGCCTCTAATTGCATTAAAAGTGACATCCGTGTCTTAATTCAATCGTATTTACTCTTTTAAAAAGATTTGAGAGAAGCTTGAGAAGGCAGTGCAAACCCCACGTAACACCGGCCATCCTGATTGGTCGATTAAAAAATAATCTGGGGAATGCGTTCGCTATGGCGTCGATACCAGACCCATGTGGTTCAGCCAAACGCCTCTGGTGGAGCATGGCGGAACTACAAGGGTCTGGCATAGCCAGGCTATGACAAATAAGCCCTGAAAACACCTTTTTTTTTTATTCTAAACTGCATTAAGGAAATTTAGCAGAAATTAATATTAGTGTAAGAGGTACACATAAGTATCATTTATGGATGGCCCTCAGCAGAGGACCCTGTACTCCCGGAGAATCCCCCAAAGGACACCCCGGGGAACACGGTCGAACGCCTTCTCCAAGTCCACAAAGCACATGTGGACAGGTTTGGGCGAACTCCTATAAACTCTCGAGTATCCGATTGAGAGTATAGAGCTGGTCCACTGTTCCACGGCCGGGACAAAACCACACTGCTCCTCCTGAATCCGAGATTCAACCACCGGTCGTAGTCTCCTCTCCAGTACCTTGGAGTAGACCTTACCAGGGAGGCTGAGGAGTGTGATCCCACGATAATTGGAACACACCCTCCGGTCCCCCTTCTTGTAGAGAGGGACCACCACCCCGGTCTGCCACCCCGATTGCCTTGCGATATTGCAGAGACGTGTCAGCCAAGACACTCCTACAACATCCAGAGACTTTAGATTGTCAGGACGGATCTCATCCACTCCCGGAGCCTTGCCACTAAGGAGGCTGCCAACCACCTTGGTGACCTCAGCCAGGGAGATGGAAGAATCCGCCCCGACATCCTCAGCCTCTGCCCCCAATTCAATACAATTTATTCTTGTATAGCCCTAAATCACAACAGAAGTAATCTCAGAGGACTTAATAAAAATAGAACACATGTTGAAAAATGTCCATACTTGTTCTAGAATGTTAAAGTCGTCACGTCCTGGATCATCACCACAGTCCTTCTAGTTGGACACTAACTACCCAACAGACCCTCCTGCATTGGCAAGGAAAAACTCATAAGAAAACCCCCCTCCGGTCCAGAGGACGTGACGAGGCACCTCTTTACTTTCCGAACTCCTCCCAGTCCCGGGTTTTTGCCTCTGCAACAGCCTGGGCCGCAGCACACTTGGCCAGCCGGTACTGGACAGCTGCCTCAGGAGTTCCACGGACCATCATGGCTTGATAGGACTCCTTCTTCATCCTGACGCATCCCTTACTGCCGGTGTCCACCGGGTTCGGGGTCTGCTGCCGGGACCAGCACCAGAGACCTTGAGAACACAGCTGCGAGCTGCAGCATCGGTGATAGATGCGGAGAACATAGTCCACTCAGACTCAAAGTCCCCCTCCTCCGCCGGGACCTGGGAGAAGCTCTCCCAGTGAGTTGTGTGAGTTAAAAGTCCGTCTGACAGGGGGCTCAGCGAGACGTTCCCAGCAGACCCTTACTACACGCTTGGGTCTGCCAGGTCTGACCGGCTTCCTCCTCTGCCAGCGGATCCAACTCACGACCAGGTGGGGATCGGTTGACAGCTCCGCCCCTCTCTTTACCCGAGTGTCCGAGACACGCGGTCGAAGGTCAGATGATACGAAAACAAAGTCGACCATCGACCTCCAGCCTAGGGTGTCCTGGTGTCACATGCACTGGTGGACACCCTTGTGCTGGAACATGGTGTTTGTGATGGACAAACTGTAACTAGCACAGAAGTCCAACAACTGAACACCGCTCGGGTTCAGATCAGGGGGGCCGTTCTTCCCAAGTGTCACTGGCATTTCCCACATGGGCGTTGAAGTCCCCCAGGAGAATAACGGAGTCCCCGGGCGGTACACCGTCCAGTACACCTCCCAAGGACTCCAAGAAGGGCGGGTACTCTGCACTGCTGTTGGCCCGTAGGCCGTCACAACAGTGAGAGACTTGTCCCCCACCCGGAGGCGGAGGGACGCGACCCTCTCATTAACCGGGGAGAACTCCAACACGTGGCGGCTGAGATGGGGGGCAATGAGAATGGCCACCCCAGCTCGCCGCCTCTCCCCGCGAGAAACACCAGAAAAGTGGAGCGTCCAACCCCTCTCGAGGATTTGGATTGCGGTGCCCAAGCTGTGTGTCACCCCCAGTGAGGTGACGTTCCACGTCCCAAGAGCCATATGCTGTGTGCATGGACTGGGTCGTTGAGGTCACCGCCTTCGACTGCTGCCCAGTCCTCTCAGCACCTCTCCACCACGGATCCCTCTGTGGGTGGTGGGTCCAAAGGAGGGCCTGCCCATGTCATCCCTTTGGGCTGAGCCCGGCCGGGTCCCGTGGGCTAAGGCCCACCAGACTCTCGCATACAAGCCCCAATCCCAGGCCTGGCTCCAGGGTGGGGACCCGGCTGCGCCATGCCGGGCGACGTCACGGTTCTCGTGGGCGGCACGGTGGCTGAGTGGATAGCACTCTCGCCTCTCAGCAAGAAGGTCCTGGGTTCGAATCCCGGTCGGACCAGGGCCTTTCTGAGTGGAGTTTGCATGTTCTCCCCGTGTCTGCGTAGGTTTCCTCCGGGTACTCCGGTTTCCCCTACCACTAAAAATATGTCCAATAGTTCTAGCATGCGCCTCCTGTACTGGCGACCCCGCTCCCATCTCTATGTGGAGTGAGAGACTAATGCACAAAAAATTAACAATTGTAAACCGCTTTGAGACTCAGATCTGCAGTGAAAAGGCGGTATATAAATAAATACTTACTTACTTACTTACTTACTTCTCAATAACATGCTATACATGGTGGGTTTTGGACTCATCAGCTGAGACCTGTTTGCCATGGGAGACCCTACCATGAAGCCCCAGACAACATAGCTCCCAGGATCATTAGAGTACTCAAACTCCCTTACCACGTTAAGGTGGTAGTCCAGGGGGGAATAATATTCTGTAAAATAATCCATCCATTTTCTTCCCCTTAATCTATTCCTGGGTTGGAAGGTGGCCAGAGATGCCACTCATTACACAGAGCACAGCTCTATGGCATAGCCTTAGTCTTTCAGAGGGGCCTTCAGGCAAAGTGGGATAAAGTGTCTTGCCCAAGGATACAACTAGGGCTGCACGATATGGACAAAAAGTCATATCTCGATATTTTTGGGCTGAATGGCAATATACGATATATATCTCGATATTTTTCTTCCAGTGAATTGAAACCAATGAGCCATGTTCTTGGTCAAAACCACAGGTGACAAATGTCTCAAAGGCACTTTTATTAATGTTCAACTGCAGAACATGTGCATAAATTGCTTTCATTAAACAAAAAACATGTATCATTATTTTAAATCAAAATAAATTAGAAATAAATATTCCTTTACTGTGTAACAGTATAGTGCAAAATGTGAACAGAAAAGATACTGACAAAAATAACAAGTCAGCCTGCTTTAGGAAAGCTTCAATCTATGAAGGGAGACTGAGGGATGCTTCCTTCTCCTAAATGCAATTCAAGTACTTTGTGCAAATGTAAACAATCAAACAATATAACTCAATGTAAACACGTTCTTGGAACAATTATTTAGCAACCATTAAACTTAAAACATGAAAGACAAGAGGTATTGGCCTGTAGTGTACATCTTACAGATTTTGTGCCAGAAAAATGAGCCTGTCTACACTTTCAGGCTTCAGGGATGCCCTGTGGCAGGTTACAATGTTACCACTGCAACTAAAAACCCTTTCTGAAGGGGAGCTGGTGGCTGGCACACAAAGGTACTTGTTGGCCAGGCGGCTCAGTGCTGGAAAAGCAACCTCATGGTCCTTCCACCATTTGAGTGGGTCAGCATCACTCTCTATACAGATTGACTGCAGATAGGTTGACAGTTCATGTTCTATTGTCTCTCTCGGTGTGAGTTTGGTGCCGGTGGCACTACCAGTGCCAGGACTCTCTTTAAAGAAGCTTGCGAGTGATTTCTTTCTTTTTGGATTAGGTGGCACTGCCACAGCTGCTCCTTCTTGTTCTGTTGGGTCATTCAGCTCGCGCACACATTCATGCAGCAAAGACTGAGTCTCCAAAATAACTCTGCGTTCCATGTGGTCATGGTCACATGAGATGTATTTGGCCCTGAATCTTGGATCTAGAAGAGAGGCTATATCCAACAGGTCACTGGTAGTTGGGTCTGCATATTTGTTATTGAGGTAATCCACAACTTTGGTCTTGATGGACTTACACAGCTCACTATCCCCTTCTTCAGATGCCATGAGACGATTGTTGAACAGGTGAAGTACAGGTCTGACATACGACAGGGTCACGTAGGCCTCTCCTGAGAGAGCATCTGTAAAGTCCTGAAGAGGTTTTAGAGCTTTCTGAATGGCCTCCAGGACCTCTATGTCCTGCCAGGTAAGGACTAGAGGTCTAGTTTTCTTGTCAGCGGACAGGACTTTAGCCAGTGCTCTTTCTTGCTCCAGGACCCTCTCTATCATTACCAACCTCGATCCCCAGCGTGTGGCAGACTCTGTGATCAATTGGTGAGCTGGCAGACCAAGTTGTACTTCAGCCAGTTCTCTTCTTTTTTTCCAGCTGTATGAAAAGCTGCTCACGATCCTCTTGCACAGACCGATAGCACGGGTGATACGGGCATCATTCATGGCATGTCCTGTATGACAAATTGAATAACACATTCTAAAATCACTTTAATTTATTTGAGACACAGAGCTCCCTCAAATACAAATTGAAAGCTATTTACATTAAATAGGAGTGTAATGTTTATATGTTCATGACACTGTGTAAACTACAAACGGTGTGTTAAACTAAACTAAATTAGTAAAACAAGTTCAAGTGTTGAATTTGTGCAATCTAAAACAGGATCTGAAATTTAGACCAGGCATTCAGATACATCTTCACCATTTAACCTGGATTTATTTTCACCACCATACTTAAAATGTATTAGACTGAATTTAGATTAATTTTAACCTGATTCAAAAAAAGTAAAAAAAAAAGTCAGAACACAGGCGTTGTTGCATGAATTTGCCAGTTTTGGGATCACCCTACATGAATGAATAATTCAGTATTGCACTTACCAATGGCCAGATGAAGTCTGTGACCAAAGCACTGCATCCTTAACCACTTGTTGAGTTGCACCGCTTTAACAACATTTGCACCGTTGTCAGTAGTTACGGCCACCAGTTTTTCCGGGTTGAGCTTCCAGCTAGAGAGGACGTCTTGCAGAGCCTCTGCTATATGCTCCCCGGTATGGTCCTGAGGAAAGTAGCTCGTCTGGAGACATGCTGATTTCATATTCCAGTCCTCCACAAAATGTATCGTTACACACATGTATGGTTCACAGGTCCGGCTGGACCACATGTCCGATGTTAGTGCAAAATGTGACACTTTGGCGAGTCGGGCGTCCATGCCGGCTCGTACTTCTTTATACATGTTTGGTAACACTTCGTTTGCAAAATCATTTCGTCCAGGTACCTGGTATCTGGGTTCCACTATTTTAAACATCTGAATAAAGCCAGTCTGTTCCACTGTACTAATCGGAGCCATATCCTTAGCGATGTGGAAAGCTATTGCATTCGTGATGTCACGCCACTTCTTACTTGTTTTATCAAAAGTGGCAGTGCGAACGAGTGTGTTCTCCAGCGTGACTTGTTTTGCTTTCGGGTTAGAAGAATGATCTGAGTTTATCTTTGGCCTTGCAGCGCGCAGTCGAAGGCACTCTTCATATTCAACTTTATGTCGCTGTTGTAAGTGATGAAACAGATTCGTCGTGCTCGAACCTTTTGCCGGAATGGATTTTCGGCATTGTCTGCAGAATACATGTTTCTGCTCCACATCTGCAACCTGGAATCCAAACCACCGCCATATGAGTGATCCATTGTTCCTTTTTTTGGAAACCAGCTCCTCTTCCACAACTTCTATCGAGTCAGAGGCAGATTCCATTTTTGTTTATGTTGTGCTGCTGTGCTGAGCGCGCGGGAAGGGGAGGGCTAATTTCCGGGAGGGATGAACGCGACCGTCTTCTTCTACGTTTTTCATCTGTTTGCGGCCGCGGAAATTGACACACGTATATCGTTATTATCGATATTGCCTTATTATCTATAGTGCGGCACAAAAATCTCGATATAACGATAATATCGATATATCGTGCAGCCCTAGATAAACAGCAGACATCAGTGGGAGTTGGTGGAGTAGGTCTTGTGGTGGGCTTGAATCCATGACCTCTAGCCTTAAAGGCTAATAATGCTCTACCAACTGAGCCAACTGAAACTAATGACTTCTGCTGGAAGGTTTACAGGTATACTTTATAATTAAAAGCTATATTATTTTGTTATTTAAGTGTTTTTCATAAATGTGTTAAAAATATCTGTGTTAATTCCTGGTATAACATATCAATTTCTCATTACCGAAACAGTGAATCTCTCTACCGCAACATGCCTTTAACTGTTGCGGTGTATGATAATGCTGTTGCGGAGTATGAGTGACCTTGAAATTTTCCGCTGTCTGCGAAGGCACCACAAGGCTTAGCTAAACTTTAGCTAGCTGTTTATTTTTGGACCATAATGAAGTATATAATAAACAAGAATTTTTAAATAAAAAAAAAATGTCAATGTTAAAAACGTTGCATATCGGTAATGAGAAATGAAAAGTCGTGTAGCTGCTGTAATGAACAAACTTTTAACTTTTATCTGGAGGGAAATAAAATTAGGTGCTTATCTGGTAGCTATTTTGAGTGTCACTGGAAATGATGTTCCTCCCTTCAGAATTCTTTGATTTTGTAAGTTCCTTGTGGACTTAAACGATTATTGAAAATTGTTGCGGAGGATGAGAAAAATGGTTGTGGACAAAGTTATTTTCCTTAAAACTTTAACTTATTTTATACAAGAATACCCAATATCACATGTTTATTTATTGTAACTGTTTATAGTATAACATGCACTGATAATTTATACATTATTTTTTTTTTTTTTTTTTTATTGTATTTCAAAGTTCTCAAATTCAGTAAAGGACGCGTTGCGGTAATGAGAAATTTACTATTAAATATGGAAAAAACAATAAAAATATTTTTATAATGTTCACTTTAAATCATGTGCAACATAGCCTGTGATGACATGTTTATAAATGTATCATTATAATTTCCATTGCATTTACTTTGTTCATCTTATTCTTCATGCCACCTTGTAAGTCTGATTTCGCGAGAATCACCCGCCCACCGGAAGTAGCGGGGCGGGCTTTGATGCTAAAAGCTAAGCTAGCGGGTTTTTTGTGTAAAGTTCTACTCCAAGAATGCAAGTCTGCAGCATCTCTGTGTTCAGAGACCTTCTAGAGACTTTATATAACAGCAGTATGTGTTCACGGAGGTGCGCCATAAGTTTCATTTATTGGTATGGTACGGTACTTCTGCATCGGCGAACACGCTAACGCTAGCTGCGCTAGTATAGTCACTAATCAAGCCTGAATGAGAACTCAGCTGCCGGCATATGTTCACATCTACTGTGTCCCCCATTGTCAATCCTGGTTAAGTCCTGGTTTAGGTCCTGTTTTGGCTGTATTTTGTATTTTTGAGTAATTTCCGTCTGCTTGCTAGACCGCTAGTGTTCCCGTGACCACTTTGCGGCTCTCTGACCCGAGAGAGACGGGGGAAACAAACAAGCATGCAAATGAGATTTATCGCGGCCAGAAAAGTTATTGAGCAAATTTTATTTATCGTGCGATTAATTGATTTATTGACTATCGCGACAGGCCTACACGTGCTTCAATTGAAGAGCCGAACAGAGCCATCACAGGGACACAAGACACTCGAAAACAGCCAAAACAGGAGCTAAGCCAGGACTGACAATGGCCGACACTGTGCCGTGTTCTCATTGCCCCGTGACTGGAGACAAGTGCAGCTAACGTGTCAGCCGACACGACAAACGTATTTATTTAGGCTTTAAAAACACAGAATTTTTTGCTTACATAGCATTGGCAGACCTCTCAAAAACGTCTTTACAGGATGGACCAAAAGTTGGCTCTTGGCCCAAAGCTCCGTTCCACATGTGTGTCAATGCTGAGGGGGGTGAATTTCTTTGGACCACTCTAGTTTACTTGGTGTGAATTTTTGAAGTCTCTCGTTCAAATTAATGGAGCTCTCGCCAGCTGACTCATGCGCAGATGCGTTTTTTCACAATTTTCTTGTGGGCGGGACTACTCACGGCCATTTTGGATAATTCCGTGGGCGGCACGGTTGCTGAGTGGATAGCACTCTCGCCTCTCAGCAAGGAGGTCCTGGGTTCGAATCCCGGTTGGACCAGGGCCTTTCTGAGTGGAGTTTGCATGTTCTCCCCGTGTCTGCGTAGGTTTCCTCCGGGTGCTTGTGTTTCCCCTACCACTAAAAATATGTACAATAGGTCTGGCATGTGCCTCCTGTACTGGCACCCCCACTCCCAAAAATAACAATTGTAAACCGCTTTGAGACTCCGATGTGCAGTGAAAAGGCGGTATATAAATAAAGATTACTACTATTCATTTTTTGGCCCATTAGTTAGAACGGCGGAGATAGGCGTGACTTTGTCTGTTAATATATACAGTCTATGTTTCCTACGCATTAAAATTATGGCCAATCTAATTCAAAAAGGACTATACATTTGTATTTATTGTTTTCAGAGCGTATTTTTACAACCTTAAACATTTCAGCCTGCAGGCCATACCCATAGCCACAGCTTTTTTTATATTTCGCTTTGACCTTATGGTTTAATTACAAAAAAAGGGTAAATTATGTAGACACAAAAACATGTGATTAATTTACTACTGCAAGCTGCACTTAGACAAAAATCTAAGTTAGGCCCCAGCCGCAACCGACACCACCTTCCCCATGCGCTCTTTTCCCAGTCATCTCTCCTTGTGCCACAGCTCCTGATTGTTCTGCTGAGATGGTTTGTGCTGTGAGCTCTTCTTCAAGCTTTAAGCTCAGACACAACTGATGCACAAAGTGATGCACAGCCAAATAGAGCGTGCACACTTAGCAGCCTATGAAACGGATGAATCTGGAGTATCAGTAGGACTCGCAATGTTCACAAGTCCTAAAACCACAAGTCCGAGTCGTTAGGGGACTAGTCAGAGTCGAGTAAGGCTCTAAAGATAGCATTTACATCCGACTCACGATTCCCCAACACTGACCAATAGTACAACTATTTTTATTCTAGAAGAAATAAAAGATAAAAGAAAAGAAAGAGTGAGCCTCAAAAAAGAAACCAGAGAGAGCCATTGACAAATTTTAAAAGTCAAATAAAGAGACATTTTCTCCAATCCAAGTATTTTTTGCTCGACTTTTGTCCCTTGTTTGTTTGCAAAGAACTTACATATTTCCAGTCTATGCCATTTGCTAGTTTGCTACAAACCTTAAAATTAAATAATCATACTCCTGAAACAGTATGTGTGAGAATGAGTCCAGTCCTGAAAAAGGCAATAGTTGTAGTTTATGGCATATAGCTAGTAGAAC